GGGGCGGGGCCCTCTGCCTTCTGCCTTCTGGTCCCGCCTGTGTGCCGGCCTCGAGCCACGAGGCAGGCGGTGCCCGGATCCGATCGCACGGAAGGACGAGCAGGCGGTCCCCCAGCCAGGCGGACCCAAACCTCATCGCCCGCCTCCTGCGGCTCTGTCGAGGCCACCGTGCATCTGCCACACCGGTCCCCGCACAGCAGGAGGCGGGGCCCTCTGCCTTCTGCCTTCTGGTCCCGCCTGTGTGCCGGCCTCGAGCCACGAGGCAGGCGGTGCCCGGATCCGATCGCACGGAAGGACGAGCAGGCGGTCCCCCAGCCAGGCGGACCCAAACCTCATCGCCCGCCTCCTGCGGCTCTGTCGAGGCCACCGTGCATCTGCCACACCGGTCCCCGCACAGCAGGAGCCTGGCGCAGGGTCGGAAGTGTCCCCTCATGCCAAGGACCCAGGGTGCAGCCGAGTTCGGAGCCTTGCCAGGGCGACCCAGTAGTGTTGGCGCCCTGCTTCTAGGGCGAGGCGGGAAGCTGTGGGGTTTCTGTAGAAACCCTGTGTTTGTCTCCTAATCCCGTCTCAGTCGGCGTGCAGTCTTGTGCACAGGCTGGGCAGAGCCCGAGGAAATGGCGAAGTACCATTAATCCCAGTGGTTTGTGTATTTAACTTGATTTCCAAGAATTGAGAACCAGGCGTGGTGGTGCACGCCTGTTATCCCAGCCCTCAGGAGGCTGAGGCAGGAGGATCCTTGTGAGTTCTGGCCCAGCCTGAGCAACATAGCGAGACCCTGTCTCAAAAAAAGTGCAAAGAGTTTTAAGGAAGGGTAGCACTGAAAGTGGCCCCTCCATATGTGTAGTACCATCTGACTACTCAGAGGGTCACATCGGCAACACCCCCTTATCTGGACTCTCCTGGAACAAGAGTCCTGATGTGTAGACCTTGACACACTTTCTTTTGAGACAGGGTCTCTGTGTAGTTCAGTCTGGCCTGGAATTTACTGTGGAACCCAGGCTGGCCTCGAACTCATGAAGGTTCTCCTGCCTCGGCCTCCCCAGTGCTGTGACCACAGGTGTACACACCACACCCAGCTCTTGAAGGACTTCTTGAGAAGACATATTGCATTTGCCCTTGTCCTTTGTAGGAAGTATATGTTGGCCCTCTAAAGATGCCCCATCCGAATCCCTGGAACCTTTCAGTGGCCTCTTGTATAGCGGGACTCTGCAGGTGTGAGTAAAACAGACTGCAAAGATTGTCCTAGATAATTGGGGTGGGCCCATTGTCACCATGCTTGTTCACTCTGGAGAGAGGTGGGTGGAGCCACAGGCAGGAGAAGAGGGACAGAAGCAGGATTAGGAGAGGAAGGAAGCCACCTCTAAGAGCTTAAGGAAGGGTTATGGATTCTGCTTCGGAGCCTGCAGGAGAAACCCCCTGGGTGCCTTGACTCTGTCTCCTAAGGCTCCTTCTGCACCCGAGCTCCCGGGTGGTGGGAGTAGAAATGGCTGGGGTGCTCTTTCAGCCCCTGATTTGTTACAGTGGCCACAGGGCACCACTCAGGTAGAAGATGCTGATTGCAACCTGATCGATTGATTATTGGTTGCTTTCCGCCTTTTGCCTGTCTGTGGGATGTCATTTAACCTTGTCTCATTAGTCCTGGTCTTTGGAATTGGTTTTGGTTCTGTGATCCAGCTCTGTGATTTATTTTACTTCTTTAGGGATTTTTTTGAGACAAGCCTATGTAGTCCAGGCTGGCCTCAAACTCACAGTGATTCTCCTGCCTCAGCCTCTTGAATGCTGGGGTGACAGGTGAGCACCACCACACCGGGCTCAGCGCAGTGATTCCTTGACTGCAGTGGGGTGGGATAAGCTCTGAGCCCTGAACGTAGCACTCCACCATGTTGTGGGTTTCGAGTCTGGCTCACAGGTGCCTGGCCATGGCCATCAGTGTTGCTTTTTCACTGCTCTGCCTGCCATTGCCCTGCCTGCATTTGTCACCTTTTCTAAAGTGCAGACCAGGACACCAGTGCTGGTCTACAGGACACTGTAGCACAGTGGCGGCACTGCTGGTGTGTGCTTGGTGGCTCATGGGCTCTTCTCCCTCCTATTGTCTCTGCGTGGTTTTGGTCAGGTGGGCTGCAGGCTAGTGACCTCTCGTTCTGCACTGGCTCGAGTGAGACAGACACGCGGCAGTGATGGTCTCTCTGGGCCTGGTTCACAAACTGGTAGGCCTGGGAGTGACTGAGCGCACCCACACCTGCACTCCCTGTACCATGGCAGGACCTGGGGGCTGAGGCCGGCACCTCAGGGTACCTAGGCCTCTGGCAGGGGTGCCTGCATTTGAACACCGTCCTGGGGCTCGAGAGGCAGCGAGGGGCCCGGCAGCCAGGCGCCTACTCTGGTCTGCTCGGGTGTGTGCAGCAGAGTGAGGGACCCCTCTGTCTCTGCACAGGCATCAAGCTCGGGATGCGCTCCATTCCCATCGCCACTGCGTGCACTATTTACCATAAATTCTTCTGTGAGATCAACCTGGATGCTTACGACCCATACCTTGTCGCCATGTCTTCCATTTATCTAGCTGGCAAAGTGGAGGAGCAACACCTACGGACCCGAGACATCATCAATGTGTCCAACAGGTACTGGCATCCTGGGGCCCTGGCTGTGGGTGCCAGTGGGAAACAGCTGGGTGGCTTGACCCAGGGTGGAAGCAGCCTGGGGTTAAGAGCTCAGGGACTGTGTGGGAGGGAAGCTGGCAACCGCGTGGGAAAATTGTAAGGCTACCCGGGGCAGAGGGAGCCCGGAGAGGCCTACTGGGGGCTGTGCAGACTGCATGCGCCCAGCCAGGCAGTGCTGGCGAAGGAGGCGGGGGCCCAGCCACCAAGGCCAGGGGCCCTTGAGACAGCTGCAAAGCTTACGGGCAGTTCCTAACTTGCTGTTCACTTCACTCTAATCATTAGGAAGAAAGCCATTTTGTCGCGCTTCTTTATTAATAAACAGGCGAGGGAAACAGCACCATCCACCCCCTCTGCCTGGCAGGTTCACTCTGTCCAGGGAGAGGCTGAGATGAAAACAGGCATGCGCCCATGGAGGGCGGCTGCAGTCCCGCCCCAGGCTCCGCAGAAGGGGAAATTGTGTGGCATCTTAATTAGGCATGGGCATGGGGGCCGGGGTCTCCGTGGGGAACATGACAAGTGGACGAGCAGCTCGGGAGGGTGAGTCACTGGCGGCGTGCTGTGTGTGCATCGTAAACCCTGTGCCTGGACATCTTGGGCAGCATGGCCAGGTCCGGCGGGGAGGGGTAGAAAGCCAAAAACCCTTTGCCTTTCACCACGGGCGTCTGCTCTGTGGCCCAGGGCCCACTCCCTCCCCGAGGCCTCGTGGCCATGACAGACGGCACGACCGCCAGTCTTTGTGCTTTCCACCTTGTTGAGTGATAGTGGACAGTCCCGTCGGGCTGGAACTGGAGCCAGCTTCTTGACCCAGCTGCTCACAGTCTCCATGGTGCCCTGAACCCGCCCCCCTCCCCGCCACCGTGTAGTGAAGGGTGTGTCTCCGTGGGCATTGTGGCATGTGCCCAGTTCACCTGCTCCACTGGCTGCACTGTAAGTGTTGTGGTCCCTCTGGTAGGTACTTTAACCCCGGTAGCGAGCCCCTGGAGCTGGACTCACGCTTCTGGGAGCTTCGGGACAGCATCGTGCAATGCGAGCTCCTTGTGCTTCGAGTCCTGCGCTTCCAGGTGTCCTTTCAGCACCCCCACAAGGTACGTGTGTGGCCTTTGCTCCGTTCCTGAAAGCCCATCCCCGCCAGTGCCACAGGAGCATGGCCTCGGGCAGCTAGATTGGTCGCCTCCTGCCCTACTCTGGGGCATCTCCGGCCCTTGTGGGCCCAGCCTTTCTCTTGTGAGTGTGTGGCCCTTCCATATCCGACAGAGACAGGATACACTTGATCCTTTTCAGTCCCGCCTCCTTTCCCATCTCTGTCTTCTTCTCTAACAGTCTCTGTTCTGCTTTCACATCCTTCTTCTTCTTCTTCTTTTTTTTTTTAACTCCATATAGGAGAGAAAACGTGGGCTATTTGCCCGAGGCTGGTGTATTTTGCTTAACACAATGCCCTCCACTTGCATCCGTTTTCTTAGTAATGCTTTCATTCTGCCTGCTGTCTGTGGCCACAAGCTGGAACCTCTGCAGCCCAGCTAGGTCAGGTGCCTCCTGCCACATCCCTGTCCCCAGAAGGTGCTGTTCCATCCAGCTCAGCTGTGCTTAGAATGCCCTGAGAAGGGCTGAGGCACTGAGTTAAGTGGTCTCAGGAGGCCATTCAGGCAGGGGCCTGGGACCTTGTGGGCAGCTGCAGAGTAGGGCTCTGCTAGGAGCTGTTCTCTTTAGAGGAGTCTTTAGCGGGTGATGGATGCTAGATTACCATGCAGCTGAAAGGAATAACGCGATCCCGTGTGTCTGCCCAGCCAGGTCACAACTAGGATTCTGGTTTCATGTGTATTGTGTTGGCCATGTTGTGCCAGTCAGTGCAAAGGGACTCATTCCATCCACCCAAGAGTCCTGGTGCTGTTCTATCATCTGCTTCTTGATCCCCAATGCCTCTGGCCTGGCCTTGGATGTCCCCACAGTAGTCACAGTGGCTGGCCACTGAGGGATGGACTTGCCAAGGCAGGACCGGTCTCCACCCTTGAGCCTAGGGGCTCAACAATCGGGCTGGGACCCAAGCTAATGAATCCTGTGGCCCCTTCCCTTTTTGAGGCCCTTCCACAGTGCGCATGTGCATGGTCCCAACTTTCCAGCACCCCTGTGGTTGGCATATGTGTGAAGTTCTGAGGCTTGGGCTGAGCGCCCTGCCCAGTTGGGTCCTGGAGAAGTTGCAGCCAGGACTAGCACCACTTTAGCTCCTTGGTGCCATCTGGAAAAACACAGTCGCCAATCTGTAGTCCTCCTGAAAGCAGTGACGCGGGCTGGGCATACAGGGTGCACTGCCCACTGTTCTGCAGAATGATTTCCCATGGTGGCCTTCGGGGAACCTGTGCTAGAGAGGATTGTGGAAGGATGGCTATCAAGGTGGCCAAGGCATAACCATTATCCCATTAGTCATGGGGACGGGAGGATGGAGGAGGGGCTGGGGAACTGCCCCTGCTCTCTTGCTGCCAGCCTTCCTTTCCTGGGCCATGGGCCCTGCATGGACACAGCTGCCTTAAAGGAAGAAAACTTTCATATCGTTTGGTCCTCCATTTATAAGATGTAGCAGAATAGTTTTTAAATATTTAATGCAGAAACAAAAAAAATGAATATGGGTGTGTGGCTGTGTGTTTTTCTTTTCCTTTCTTGTTTTAATGTTTTTTGGTAACGGGGATTGAACTTGGGTCTTTGCGCTTGCAAGGCAGGCAGCAGAACCACTGAGCTAAATCCCCAGCCCCTTGTTTTCAGTATTTTGTGTCAGGATCTCACTGTGTAGTCCAGGCTGGCCTTTAAATTACTGTGTAACCCAGGCTGGACTCATACTCTTGGTGATCCTCCTGCCTCAGCCTCCAGAGAGCTGGAATGATAGGCATGCACACCACACCTGGCTTAAATTGTTTTGTTTAGTTTCTTTTTGGCATTGCTGGGGATTGAGCCTGGGGCCAATGTGTGCTAGGCAAGCATTTTCCTACTGAGCTCCACCCCCAGTCCTTCCTTGTCCTACTTGATGAGTGCCTAGTTTGAGACACATGGTTTGGTTTAGAAGCAAGGACCTTCTTTGGGACAGAGTTATTGGGCAGTGGGGGACTGAGAAAGTGGTGGTCTGGGCCCTTAAACTCCCGGTACTATGCTGGGTGCCCCTGTCCTGCCTGCCTGTGGCAGGCAGGTGGGCCATTGATGCTCACCAGGTGGACATACATTCTTAGCAGCAGCCAGAGCCCTGGGCCTGTTTAAAAGGCACACATGGACAGGTCTGCCTGTGGGTTTAGAAGTGGGAATCGGCATGTTATGCAGTTCGTTTCTTTTTTTCTGGTACAGGGGATCGAACTTGGGACCTTGTGCTTGCAAAGCAGGTGGTAGCACCATTGAGCTAAATCCCCAGCTCTGCTTGTTATGGATAGAGGGAGAACTAGGGTCATTTCCTGGTGAGGCTAGAGTGTCACTAATGCTGGCCAATTAAATCAGTGTTATTGTCATTATTTTGGGACTACTGGGGATCAAACTAAGGGCCTTTGTACTGAGCTACAGCACTGGTCCCTTCTTACTTGTTATTTTGAGACAGGGCCTCTTTAAGTCACTTAGTTGCCCAGACTGGGCTCAAACTTGCAATCATCCTGGACCCAGGAAGTAGCTCAGTGGCACCGTGCCTATCTGGTAAGCGCAAGGTCCTGAGTTTGATCCCTGGTACCAAAAAACAAAACAAAACAAAACAACAACAACAAAACAACTTGCAGTCTTCCTACTTCAGAGTTCCTCCCAGAGTTCTGAGATTACAGGTGTACATTACCATGCTTGGCTAAATAGTTTTATTTTTCTGGTACTAGAGATTGAACTGAGGACCTTGGGCTTGCCAGGCAGGTGTGGTGCCATTGAGCTACATCCCCAGCCCTGCTAAATAGTTTTTAAAGAAGCAAAACAGAAGGTGAGAATTTAATCAAACATGTAGGGTTTGGAAATGTAATTTTTTAGATTTCCCTATTTGCTTCACTGTGTCCTTCCCCTGTGCCCTTGGAGGAGTTGGGGACAGGGCTGTGCTGAAGACAATTTTGTATCCTGGTGACTTTTTCTCTTGGTGCAGACTGTTCCTTTCTTTGGTAACATTCCTAAGGAAGTTTTTTCTTTTCTAATAAACACACCTCTCCTCATCCCTTTATAAAACAAGAATGACACTGTGTACTGGGCCCAGAGGACGGGAGTGGCAGGTGCAGGCCCTGCAGCAGGGGGTGGTTTCAGGCAGAAGCAGCAAGGAGTGCAAAGTCCCTGGGGTGGAGTGAACCCAGTGTGTCCCAGCCCAGCAGGAAGGGGCCAGAAGTACTGTGAGAGGGAGGCAGGGCTTCTTCCCCAATGACCCGGATGTGCATGCCTATGGCAGCCTGGGGAGGGCTGGGCAGGTGAGACACCAAGCCTGAAGTCCCCTGGCTGATATCTGTGTCTTTGCAGTACCTGCTCCACTACCTGGTTTCCCTCAAAAACTGGCTGAACCGTTACAGCTGGCAGCGGACTCCCGTCTCTGTCACAGCCTGGGCTCTGCTGCGGGACAGCTACCATGGTGGGCTCTGTCTCCGTTTCCGGGCGCAGCACCTGGCTGTGGCTGTGCTCTACCTGGCCCTGCAGGTCTATGGAGTTGAGGTGCCTGCCGAGGCTGAGGCTGAGAAGCCATGGTGGCAGGTAAGGCAGCTGTGCGGTGCTGTGGATGCCATGTCTTCCCTTTCACAAGCCCCAGTCCCTGTCAGTCACCTGCAGAGACGACTGTTGGCTGCTGAGGAACGCTGACGCTTGATGGCGCTCTCCCTGTCGGCACCCACCATGACCACTGGGGCCGCATGTTCTTTGCGCTGGGGAGGGGCCTCTGCCCAGCCACTACCAAGTCACCCCCTGTTGAGAACCACTGAACTGCTCACTTACAGAGCTGAGTAGGGCTGGCCCAGGTTGAGAGGTGCATAGATCCGGGTTCCCTACAGGGTGGTGAGAGAGGTGGTGGGTGGGGAGATGGATGACGGACGAGTGGTGAGTTTGTCACTACACGCAGACCTACTGAACTGATAAACAGGGTGTTGAAAGCTGTCCCTCGAAGGAGCTATGTGGCTAGCGGGCTGGCGCTCAGGGCAAAGGCCACACTTTCTCGGCATGCTCTTCCCTGGCCTGCTTGCCTTCTGGGAGACCCGATCTTTCTCCTCTCTTACCTGTTGCATCCTTCCTAGGTTGGGCACACAGGTGATGCAGGGGTCTCTAATATCCATAGCATAGCTGCAGCTCCCAGCCAGGCACACCCCTGAGTGTGTGTGGGGTGAGGGCAGCTGTGTACACAGACAGCATCGCACATCAGCCGCTGTCTGAGGACATGTGGTGGGCATGGTGATCCCGTCGCTCTGGCGCCTGGCTCTGTAATGTCATCACTAGTTTCTGCTTTCTCCTCACACTTTCTTCGCTAGCTTGTAAACAGTACCTGATGGTCAGTGCCACTTCTGTGCCCACTGCTAGGGCCTCCCAAGGAAAGCACCAGTGGCATTGGCCCAGCACAGCCGAAAGTGTCCCTGGTGCCGCTCAGCCTGGTTGGCAGCTGGGTACTCACCCAGCTCCTCTTAAAGCCTGTCAAACTCACCTTTTTGGGATGGCTCAGGGCAGCCTGCACCAGAAGCTTGGAGAATCTAGGCTCCCTTTGGGCGGTAGGGTGCCAGGCCAGCCACCTTGCATGAGCCATCCCAGGGAGCCCAGCTGCATGCCACTGTGAAGCACATGGCTGATGCTCCTTTTTTTTTGGTACCGGGGATCGAACTCGGGCCCTTGTGCTTGCGAGGCAGGCACCGGAACCACTGAGCTACATCAGCCCTTTGGTTTGCTTTTTGAGACAGGGTCTTGCTGTGTAGTCTGGCCTTGAATTCACTAGGTGGCCCGGGCAGGCAGACAGTTCTGCTTCAGCTTCCCGAGTGCTGGAATGACAGGATGAAAGGTGTGCAGCACCACTCTGGCGTATCGAATGCTGGAAACACTTTCTCTCCTCATGTCTTCCCAGCTGCTGCTCCTTGCCATGACCTTCTCCTTCACCTGTGGGCCATGGGCTTAGCACGAGAGCCCAGCACTTCCCCGCCAACAGCTGGCCCGTGTGTTGTGCCGAGGCATGTGGCAGCCCTGGGCCCTGGGAGGCACGGCTCTGAGCACAGGATGAGTCGGGGTGGCGAGGGTTCAGTGGCGCCAGCGGTCTTCGCAGTGTTCCAGAAAGCTCCACATGCAGAGCCTCTCCAGGGCTCCCCGTACCCCTTCCCCAACTTCAGGAGGCCCACAGTTAGTGAGAGCCAGCACATTTGTGAGCCTCTCCTGCACAGCCAGCCTGTGCCCAGCCGCTCCTCTGCCAGCTTTCTGGGATTGGCTGCTCTAGGAGTGTCCTGCACATGGGAGCACACAGTATCTGTCCCTTAGTGGCGGGCTCATTTCACTGAGCACCATGTCCCCAAGGGTCATCCTTGCTGTCCTGTGTGTCAGCATGTCCTTCCTTTTGTATTTATCGATTGATTGTTTTGGTCTCACCATGTAGTTCATGCTGGCCTTGAACTCACTGTGTAGCCCAGGCTGGCCTGGAACTCACCTCAATCCTCCTGCCTCAGCCTCCCTCGTGCCTTGACGACAGGCATGTGCCACGACGCCCAGCCAGCCCTTCATTGAGACAATCACACGGGGAGCTGCTACCCTTTGGCCACGGACATTGCCTTTTGTTTTATTTCTTGTGCTTTTGGATGGTCACATCTCAGCATGGGGCCCCCTGGACACATGGGCAGGGGCTGCGGAGGGGCCTTCTTTGCTTAGGGGATTTACGGCGGGCTGACTAAGGTCCACTCAAGGCCTTAACTTTGTAGGTGTCTTCCGTCCCTGGGCAGTAATCTTGACCATGGGATTGTTGCTTTGCTTTTTACTTCCTATTGTCAAGGGTCCCCCAAAACCATAGAGGGATGGTTCAACTGGGACTCTGGGACCCCACAGACTGTTAACCAAAAGGATGCCCTGGTACAGGTGTCTGGGGCAGGGGCCAGGAGAAGCCAGGCGGGAGCATCTGGGGGCCTGGGAGGTGAGGTGCAGACGGCTCGTGCGGGGGCCTTGTCACCTGGGAATCCCTCCTGAGCCCTGTGTTGCGGGGTGGGTCTTACCGGGTGGGTGGTGTAGGCTCGGAGTGCTGGGTGGCTGACGCAAGTGGCTCAGGCCCTGGCTGCCCAAGGTGCCCATGCGCATCATGGTGCCAGCGTAGACTGCCTGGCAGGACCCCAGTCCCTGGTAAACCAGGGCACTTTTCACGGGGCAGGGTCTTCTGGGGCCTTAGCAGTTCCTCCCCCTCGGGGTGGGAGGGGCCCAGGCTCAGGGTGCAGCCCCCTCGGGAGTGGGCCGGGCGGAGCCAGTTTGGCGTGGGGCCCTGGTCCCCTTGGACTCCTAAGTCTGGAAAGGGGACCCCGCCCTCGCCTGTGCAGCAGCATCCCTAGAGACCTTGGACTTGACAGAATCCCCAGGCAGGAGGCAGGAGCTTGTGATTTGGGCCGTCTGTCACCCAGTCTTCTGTCACCGTGTCCGTCTGTGAAGTCTCACCAGTCCAGGCTGGAGTCCCTGTGTCCCCGCCTGCTCGGGACACGCCGAGCTGTGCTAGTAGCAATGCTTGTCAAACACAGAGGTGTCTAATTGGAGCCTGTTTTCCTTCTCCTTCCTAGGTGTTTAGTGACGACCTTACCAAGCCAATCATTGATAATATTGTGTCTGATCTCATTCAGATTTATTCCATGGACACAGAGATCCCCTAAGGCCCTGGCCCAGGCCTGCCCAAAGAGAAGCCCAGGATGGCCAGCTGCCTGGGGACGGTGGCACCACGTCGCTGTGACGGCCGGTCCCCAGAGGACCAGCTGCTGGAGGCGGGCTAGTGAAGGCGATGACACGCTGCCGCTCTGACTGTCCCCAGCAGCCACGGTCCCCGTGTGCTGCTGCCTGGGTGGCGTTTCTGCTTTTGTCCTTTGAGAGGACTCTGGCTGCACTTGAGGCATGATGTTGCTGGGAGGGCAGTCGCAGGGACAGATGGGACTGCACCTGAGGGATTTTTTTAAAAGTCAGATTTCTAGAATGAATGATGTGTGATAGAGATGGAATTTTATTTTGTATAATAAAAGCTGATGCAAATCGACAGAGCCCCTTTGTCTTAGCTCCGAAACCCATGCTGCCCTTTGAGACTCTCAGAATGACCTCACTCCTGGTTACAGTGCCCGGTGGTTGGTCACGGGCACCCAGGAAGGCCGGTGGGGTCCCAGGGCAGCCGAAGTCCTGAGTGGAGTCCAGATGGACACCAAGGTGTGGTGCCCCGTGTGCCATGCAGGCCCCTTCTTCCGTAAGGCCAGCTCTCGGGCGTGTAGGATGGCAGCCCGGTGTGAGCTCCGTGCACACCCAGCACGCGCTGACACTTCCCACTACCCCCACACGGTCCCCTTTCCACTGTGTCACCTCCACTTCCATCTGGCACACCCGGAGCTCCTAGAGGCTGGGGAGAGAGACCCAGAGCTGGGCGCCCCTGGTGGGCAGGGCTCTGGGGTGGCCCTGTCCTGCTGCCGCCTGTGCCTTCTGCCCCTTTGGACGGACCTTGGCAGCAGTTCCTGGGGTCCTGTCAGGCCTGTGACTGATACTCGATGTGACTTCATTGGGGCCACCAAGCATGACGCTCTCAGCCCTCAGAAAACCTGGCAGCTGGGAAGGGCTCACTCTTTTCTGCCACTGTTCCCTCTGTGTCCCTCCCCAGCCCCTCCCCAGGACATAGCAAGGGGAGGAATTGGGGTGAGCATGCTTGTCCTGACGGAGAGTGCCCCACAGCCCCGGAAAACTTGACATTTCCTTTTATGGCATCGAGTGTGAGGTCATTTCCTCTCTTGGGACTCACTTCCCACTTTGCAGATTGAGCAGTTTGCACCGATAAATAAAATAGCAGTTTGTTTTTTTAAACTCCCTCCCCTGCCTCCGCTGTCACGCTGCCTGCCGTGGGGACTCGCTGGCTCTGCTCAGTGTTACTTGTGTGCTGGCCGCTGGGCCTGTCAGGTCAGGCTTGTCTCCTGGCCTGTCTGTGGTTTTCCTGATACGACAGCCAGCCCGTGTCAATCAGGGCCCAAGGGCTGTGGAACACCGAGCGTGTTCTATGTGCTGTGAAATTCAAGTCACTGTTTACAGGGTTGGGGTTCCGTTTGGCTTTTACTTTATTTTGTTGTGTTCGTTTTTGCTTTTTGTTTTTGATTGCTGTTACCAAAGCTTTTGCAAAAAATAAAGGAGAGTAAAAATGTACAGCCTTTCATCTCCTTTATTTGGGTGTTAAAAGGTCAGCAGTGCAACTGAAATAAGATTCTGGAATCCGAGGTAATGTGATCGATGGGCGAGGCTTGCTTGGCCTACACAGCGTGAAAGGAGGGGAGGCTGGACCCAGTGCCCTGAATTGTATCCCCTAGAAGATCTGTGCGCAACATAAGCCCTGCAGCCTGCAGAGGGGAGTGTATTTGACACCCGTCACCCGTCGGGGTGGACTCTAATCCCGGTTGGCACCCCGAGAAGACCAAGGAGCGGACAAGGCCATATCTACCCACCAAGGAATGCCGCATGCTAGAAGCCAGGAGAAAGATCCTGAGCCATTAGTGTTTCTCCCTGCGCCTGGGCCCTGAGAGAGAGTGCAGTCCTGCTGGCTCCTCAGTTTTGGATGTTGGGCCTGAACTAAGAGGGGAGACATTTCTGGTTCCTTTTAAAGTTTTTGTTGTTTTTTGAAACAAGATCTCACTATGTAGTCCAGGCTGGCCTTGAACTAAGCCTCGAGTGCTGGGATGACAGGTGTGTGTGGCCACACCTGGCTCGTTTCTGCATTTTTGCCCTGGCAGTTTGTGGAAGTCCACGACAGCAACCCCAGGACGTTCACACAGGCCTTTCTCAGACTCGCAGGGCTCTGCTGTGGCGGACCTTCCTTGCCCCAAAGCCATGGAAACCTGTGTCATACCTTAATAGAGAAGTCACAGGCCCAAGTTCCCAGCTCCCCCGGGGGCGCGTCATCTCGCTCTAGCTGTCTTGGTGTGGAGTGCGGCCAGTCTAGACGTGGAGCTCTGCCGTGTCCTCTCACTCTTTTGGAGAAGCTGCTGCCAGCTGAGAAACAGGATGGGGCAGCGCCCCAGTGCTTGTTGGCGAGCTGGTGACGGGCATGGGGCTTCAGAGGGAGCCAGGAGCACAGAAATGAGTGGGTGCCAGGAGCTTTGCTCCGCAGCTAGGGGTACAGGGATCTGATCAGGATCCTCCTGCCCTGCCAGCAGATGTGGCAAATGGTGCGGCTGCAGTGGCAAAGTCAGAGTTGCCAGGGGACCCATCAGGGCCACTGCTGAGCGGACAGCCATTTCCAGTGGAGTCAGAGGAAGGGGCTCGGAGAGTGGTGAGGAATCTCATGGCCCAAAGGTGGGAGCTACCGAGTACCCTTCTGGGAGTGGCTGGAGAAACAAAGGTGGCCCTGTTCCCACACATGTCACCTTCCTGACCCACTCCAAAATGTGGACACCCCATGCAACAAGCCAGTCCTAAAAGGCCACTGATGACCTCTATGAGGGACCTGCTGTGACAGCACTAGGACCAGCCAAGTTCACGGACAGGCCAGATAACAGGATGAGGGTGGAGAGTTGGTGGCTCCTGGGGACAGTGAGTTTGGTTGGGGTTCTGGAAGTGGTGAAGTCACAGGACATTATGCGGGGCCTGTAGAAATGGCTGAGGGTCTGGGGTGGGCTCTGGTCAGTGCTTGCCTGGCATGTTGGCGTGGTCAATTTTATATAGTTGGTGTGTATGTATGTGTGTGTGTTAGTGTGTTTCTTTTTTTCTTGAGACAGGGTCTTATGTAGTTCAGGCTGGCCTTGAAGTCACTTGGTAGCGCAGGATGACCTCAAATGTCACAACCCTCCTGCCTCAGCCTCCCCAGTGCTGGGATGACAGGTGCTACTGCACTCAGCTTATATCTGTTTTGTCACAATTTTAAAAAGTATGGAGAGGGCCGGGGATTTAGTTCAGTGGTTCGGTGGCCTGCCTTGCAAGCGCAAGGACCAGATTTCAATCCCTGGTACCAAAAAAAAAAAAAAAAAAAAATGGGACCTAAAAGAACGCGGCCCGGGTG